TGTGTGTGTGTGTGTGTGTGTGTGTGTGTGTGTGTGTGTGTGTGTGTGTGTGTGTGTGTGTGTGTGTGCATGTGCTGTCGACTGTGAAAGCTGTCTGTCAGACGTAAGATTATATGACGATATGATTGGCATATGGATTTGTAGCGGACTGTCCGTCTCTTGGGAGAACAAGTATGAGGCAGGAGCAGGAGAGCTCTCTTCTTGGTTGGCCAACAGGAGCCAGGAAGAGGGACTTGGAAGCAAGCGAAGAGAGATGGTGGCATTGTCTCTTCTTGCTGGGAGGAGTCCAAGCAAGACACATGATGATGATGATGATGATGATGATGATGATGTTGATGATGATGTTGATGATGATGTTGATGATGATGTTGATGTTGATGATGTTAATGATGTTGATGACGATGTTGATGATGATGATGATGATGATGATGATGATGATGGTGATCATAATGATGGCACTCTCTCTCTTTCTATTTCTCTCTTTCTCTCTCTCTCTCTCTTTCTCTCTCTTTCTCTCTTTTGCTTGGGAGTTTCTCTCTCGTTTTTGTCATTTCTTTCCGCTCTGAATGATGGACGATCTTTTAGTTTTTTTTTTTTTTGGGGGGGGGTGTTAAATTGACTCGAGCTCGTGGTCAATGCACTACAGTCAAAATCGTTGTAGCATTCAGCATTACGAGTTTTTTTTTTGTTTTTTTTTTTTGTTTCTGGTTTACATGATCCGCTCTTCTTGGCTTTGCACTTGCTGCGCCTTCTGACTCACCCTTGGACTTTCCTGGATGTATATGAACGCTTTCCCGACTTGGCCAGGATGCACCTGACCGCAATTACGTCCACAGAGACGTGGAAAAAGTTCTAGTGTATTTATGCCCTGAGTGCCATCGGGCACCTGAATGTCCAATCAAAAAATTTTGTATATCTATCTTTTTTCTTGTCTTTTCTTTTCTTTTTCCTCTTTCCTTTATACTGACAAAATTTTAAGGTTTGTATATCCAACGACTTAAGTTGGCCTGCTGCAATCTTTACACGCCCACGTGTCCCGCGTGCATGCGTTTTCGTGCCCACGTGTTCACGTTGTTTTTTTTTTTTTGAAGGCTAATTCTACGTGTCTGCGTGTTCATGTGTCTTGTACTTTTTTTTTTTTGACTTCTTTTGTTCAACCTTCTTTGAAGGTTTTTTTTCTTTTTCTTTTTTTTGTTCTTTTTCAGGGCGTCCTGAGTACGATTGAGGGCGTAGGTGCACCACTCGCCGTCCGCTAAGATTTTGGATGGATGTGGACGTACGCGCTGTCCACATGCCTTCAAAATCTTTGACGGATGGCGTGGTGCAACTACACCCTGACACGTGTTCTGTAGCGAACCGGGTGCCTTTTTGAAATTGGGCCTGGTTCTGTCCAGATGCATTCAAAATTTCTCGCCATTCGCTAACAATTTGACTGTACCTGGACAATGTTCTGTCCACATGCATTCAAAAAATCTCTTGGCGGATGGTGAGTGGTGCAACTTGGCCCTTTTCCGGTGTCTCTTTGTTTGTTCCTTTTTCTCCAACGTCTCTTTTTTTTTTTGACTGTGAGCATTGATGAGACCACCCATGCTTTCTTTCTTTCATTCTTTCTTTCTTTTTTCTTTTTTTCTTTTTCTTTTTTTTTTTCTTGCTTTTTTTTTTTTTTTTTTCACAGCGTCCCTTACAGGGGTGCCGCAGTTCTCGAGCTGCGCAAGGCTCAAGGCTCTCCGGCCAAGCACTGGCCGGGGCGCATCCGTGATCACGAGGGCGGAAGGCCTACTGTAGGTTGCAGGTTTCCCGATGCACTTCTGGGACTCGCCTGACGCCTGGCCTAAGTCATACCCATAGTGGTATTACGAGGGCATTGTTTGTGGTATAGGGGCCACGCGTTCAATCTTTCTGTCCTACTTCTTATGAAAAAAAAAAAAAAAAAACTCTTTGCTTAATCTATTTTTAAAAGCCTTTTTGTAAAAACATTTTTAATAAATCCTTGTCTTTTCGAACATTGTTACAAGTTCCCCCCCCCTTTTTTGCAAATTTTTTAATAAATATTTGTCTCCACTTCAGATCACACTTTTTGAGTCTTTTTTTTTTCAATCGTTTTTGAAATCTTCGTTAATTTTTTGTTTCAACTTTCAAAAATATATTTTTAGTAAATCTTTCTCTCTTTTTTGAACTTTCTTTTTTTTCACAATTCCCTCGCCCCCCGCTCTTTGTCTCTCCCTTCCGGCTGTTTATGTCGTAGAATCAGGGTTGAGGTCCCCCTAGGAACGAGGATTGGATTAAGCGCCTGAATCTGGATGGGTTTTAAGTGGAGATGCAGAAAAGCTTACGGATCGCGATGATCTGCATCTGTCTGCAAACACGTCCAGATTCAGGTGCTCAATCCAATCCTCTATGCTACCGGTAGTGGGACCTCGCCGCAGCACTAGCGTTCTCGACCGCCCTGGAGCAAAAGGTCACACTAGCAAAGAGGATTGGGTTTTGGATTAAGCGCCTGGGTTTTAAGGAGCGATGCAGAAAAGCAGACCAATCGCGATGCTCTGCATGTCTCCACAAACCCGGCCAGATTCTTGCTAGTGTGACCTCACCCTTCGTTAGCAGAAGAGTTCTCCGTTTTTTTTTTTTTTTTTTTTTTTTTTTTTTTTTTTTTCAATTTTTTTTTTTTTTTTTTTTTTTTTTTTTTTTTTTGCTTTGTTTCGGTTGTGCTACGTTGGTTTGATAACTCAATGGTCACAGGTGTTGCTTTTTTAATTTGTTTTATTTTATTTTATTATGTTATTTTATTAGTTCATTTAAATCATTTGATTAGTATTATAATTATTATTATTTTTGGGCAGAGGTTGCCCCGATTTTTGAGGAGGTAGCTTGTTGGTCGTTTTTTTTTTCACGTAACAAGGAATTCGGGAATGAAGAGCATTTAAAAAGAAAAAAAGAAAAAAAAACATTAAATGGATGCCACTCGGTGATTATACCCCTCCGAGCACTATGGTCGGTCGACTCCGCCTCTTCCTAGACTGAATGTGGCGATAATCTTGCCCAGATACATTTCAGTTGTGCGAGTATGCGATTACTTCGCCTCTTTCTGACTGAATGTGGCCATAATCTTGCCCGGTTACATTTCAGTTGTGCGAGTATGGGCTTACTTCGCCTCTTTCTAGACTGAACGTGACCAATAATCTTGCCCAGATACATTTCAGTTGTGCGAGTATGCGCTTACTTCGCCTCTTTCCAGACTGAATGTGACCATAATCTTTGCCCAGATACGTTTCAGTTGTGCGAGTATACTCTTAGCAACAACACTGAAGGCCATCATCCGAGTTAGACCGAATCTGGCCATAATCTTGCCCAGCTGCATTTTAAGAAAGTACAAGTTCTTACCGACATCCATTTTAAGAAAGTCCCAAGTGTGCGTACGCTCCCACTTGAACAGGAATGAATCTGGCCATAATCTTGCCCAGCGGCATTTTAAGAAAGTACAAGTTCTTACCCACTTGACCAATAATCTT